GCCAACAAAACATCTCTGCCTATTGAAAGCACTCCCAAACACCGCAATGACTGCTAAAGGCTGAACCACACCAAACTAGATACTCCCTCTCTGCATGGTCTTTGAAGGGAGTGGAGATACTATGAAAACAATTCACCACCGAAGCTTTTCCTGGTGCCAATCTTGCTTTCTAGTTTCTGAAGTTACATTATATATATATATACACACACACACATATATATATATACATTTTTTTTTTAAGGTACCCTGTGTCTTCACCAGAGAGAAGGGAGAAAGAACTTTGGTTGATTCTCTGTCTGTGGCAGGGGCAAGATCTATCTTATCAGTTTCAGTCCATTTAGCAACCCTGCTGTCTGAGGACTTCACAGAGAGGGAAGCTACGCTCTGAAGGGTGATGGAATTTGTCTGTAGTCGCACATGTGTCAGCCACAGACCCAGATCTCTCTGGTTTCCTTTGCTTTGTTGACTACCTTGTTGATATTAAACAACTGGCTTTCCAGTGAAAAGTAGTAACAATCATAGGATAACACCCTTAACATCTGTGTGGCTCTCTACAGTATACAAGATGCCTTTCCATTGCTGGGGCCCAGCCCAGCATGGAGATCGGCCCCCTCTGCCCTGCTTCTCCCTGACTCCACCTTGCCAGTCCCAGACTGCGCGTGTCCCCAGCTGAGCTGGTTCTCACTCCCTTTTGCAGACATGCTCCCTTGGTAGATGACTTCACTGGAAGCCTGTCTACTGATTCAGGGTGACAGGCTGTGCCAAAGCCCCAGCCCTCGTGGGGCTCATAAATCTTGAGATGGTAGGCGCTAGAGAGGTGCAGCTCAATGACAGTAAATTTGGCCTGTCTCTCGGTTTCACCCAGGGCCAGCCTTGACGGATGCTGAGCAAAGTGTCAGTGATGAAGGACTTGTCAACACTGCCTGGCTTCCTTCCTCACCTGCCATCAAAGGTGGACTTTTGTCCAAAGCTCTTTAATTTGGGAATTAGGTCTTAGACGTAACTGCCAAGTTAAATTGGACCCAAGAGTGAATTTGGATCTGCATTGAAGAGGGAGTGGAAATTAGTAAGTTCTGGGGTGCCCTGGGCTTGGCACATAATCATAATTACAAAGACTAATGCTTTGAGCTCTTGCTGCAGGCCAGCTCTGTGCTAAGTGCTTCTTCACTCGATCAGCTTCTTACTTCACAACCCGGTCAGATACAGGCGATTTGTGCCCAGAGAAATGAGACACTAGGAGATGATGTGATTTGCCCAAGATCCCACAGCTGGCAATGGAGGCATTGGCATTTGAATTTGTACAGTCTGTATTGCCAGAATGGCTGCTGACCTCTCCAAGACCATGTGGGAGGTTTTTGACGAGGCCTGAAGCTCCGCGGAGTTCCTGGCATCTGGGGAGGCCTCTATTTAGATCCAAGCCTTGGGAGAAGCCCCAGGACAAAACAGCTTCTAAGGACCACATGGGGTGTGTTGGGGGCAGCCCGTCATGAGTCCTGAAGCCCAGCTTATTTTCTCTCTTTCTTTTCCTTCCTCCCAAATCCTTTCTGCCTTGCCTGCCATCCATTCTAGCTCCTAGGAACATGCTAGAAATGCTGAATCTTCAATTCCAGTTGATTCCAACTGATAACACTTCATTGGAGTTTTGTTTATTTGAAGATCATTAGTGACAAGGATGTAGCAGTCTCTGCCCCGAAGGACCATATCCAAGCACACTTTTTTATCTTGACTTTGAGTCCCAACCTGGACTCCAGCCTACAGCCTCTGGTAGGCAGATTATCCTGTGCTCACCCTTGTCTTGGCAGCACAATCACAAGCTCGTTCTGTGCGCTTGCCTTTTGGGCCCCAGTATACAAGAAACAGGCTTAATTGAAACTATAAGTGAATTTGTCTGGAACACAGAAAACACTCAATAGCACATCTCACTCTGACAGACACTGTCAATCTAATTAGAGGCCTTGAATTATTAAAGCTCCCTAGTCACTTAGAGCTGCAGGTCACCAAGGCACCGAACACACTTGCCTGAGTGGCACTGGATTAGGAAGCAGTGGGCTCACAGCCAGCTGTTACTGTGGGCCCCCCAAATTTGTTTGATCACCGCTCTGCTCAGTCATGAAATCCCACCCTCCTTTCCCAGACCGGATCCTGCTGACAGAGCCCTGAACTGGCTCGGGTCCTGGCTTGTGGTCCTACCTCTGGAGTTCACTCTGGGGGTTTTGGCCAATCCTTTTTCTTCGTGGTACCTCCATATTCCCACCTGTATTGTGTGGCTACAAATATTTGCTTAGGATCATTTTAGCAGCTGTGAAGTGTCCTGGGAACTCTGAATGAAAGGCGCTCTATTCCAGCTTATGAACCAAGTGATGATTCTGGCCCTGTCCACACGGCAGGGCTCTGCAGGAGAGAGACTGGACCCATTCATCCTTCATACAGTCCTAATTTTATTCCAGTGCCTCACTGTGGGCTGAGGCAGCAGGGCTTGTCAGAGAACTGAGCCGTCTTCACACTTTCAAAGTCCCTTCTATTTGGTAGGGTTGCTTTTTTTCCTTTTTTTTTTTTTTTTTTTAAATCATTTCATATTAGCAAAGGTAAAATCTACCATGCAAGAAAAGGAACAATCATGAAAGGAGAAAGGCCTTCTCGAGGGAGAGCTGCTTATTAGATCTTTGGAAGGTCCAGAAGGCCATTTGCCTGAAGCCAGGATTTATACTATTAGCATGGTGGGCACATCCGGGGCCTACCCTGCGTAAATATCAGGGTGCCATTTTTACATTTATTTTTACATATGTGTGTGTCTTGTTTCAGGGTGCCCATGGTGCAAGAGAGCACAGCTGAGAATCAATAGGATAATATGTCCAGGGCCTGCTAGTGATGAATGTGGGTGTTTTGGCCCATCTGGGCTGCCACAACAAAGTACCCCATAGACTGGGTGACATGCAAACAACAGAAGTTTATTTCTCCCAGTTCTGGAGTGTGGAAGCCCAAGATCAAGGTGTCAGCATGGTCAGGTTCTGGTGAGGGTCCTTTCCAGGTTGCACACTGCAGACTTCTTGTATCCTCAAGTGGTGGAATGAGGGCAAGAGAGAGCTCTGGGGTCCGTTTTATAAGAGCACCAATCCTATTCCTGAGAACTCCACCCTCATTACCTCCCAATGGCTTTACCTCCTAATCCCATTGCATAGTAGGTTAGGGTTTCAGCATATGAATTTTGCAAGGACACTAACATTCAGTCCATTGCACTGAGTATTTTTGCTTCTTCAAAATGACTCCATTGTTGCAACCTATAATTGTGCATCTGTCTTGAGGCTAAAAGAGCAGGTCTTAGAGCTGGGATCTCCAGCTTCCCGGAATCCTGGGCCCCTCTACCGACCTCTCTAATACTTCCCCTCTAGGAGCACTTACTTACAGAACATTGAGTCTCTGCTCACTGTCTCCTGAATCTATTTCTGCTCCTTCTTCTTTGAACTCCTCACTAGCCCCAGGGGCCAGGTATCCCATCCAGATATCATCCCCAGCTGCAGATATCTGAGAAACTCTGCAGTCACTCTCTCCCTCAGGGCTAAAGTCTTCACTTTCAATAGGTCTTCAATCACCATGGTTTCCAATCTCACTCTTCTTCTGGGTGTGCAGAGCATGGCTTCCCATTACTTTCAAAGGGAAGTGCAAATGTCTTATGCAAATTTACTGTATTAGTTTGTTCTCACACTGCTAATAAAGACATATCTGAGACTGGGTAATTTATAAGGGAAAAGAGGTTTAACGGACTCACAGCTCTACATGGGTGAGGAGGCCTCACAATCATGGCAGAAGGAGAAGCAAAGGCATGTCTTACATGGTGGCAGGCAAGAGAGAAGTGCCAAGCAAAATGGGGGAAAACCCCTTCTAAAACTTATAAAACCATCAGATCTTGTGAAAACTCACTCACTATCATGAGAACAGTAGCATGGGGGTAATCGCCCCCATGATTCAATTATCTCCCACTGTGTCCCTCCCACAACAGTGGGAATTATGGGAACTACAATTCAAGATGATATTTGGGTGGGGCACAGTCAAACCATATCACTTATCAAGGCCTTACATGATCTAGTCTGTGTCTTCCTGTTTGACTTAATTTTTCCCCTTATTCACCTCTTTGCTTATCAAATCCAGCCACATTGTTCTCTTTCCCGTCCTTCAAACTCATCCAGGTTCATTCCCACTTTAGGGTTTTGTACGTGTTCTGGTCTCTCTACTCAGTATACTCTGCCCACGAAAATTGGCATGCTGGCTTCTTCTTGTCATTCAGATCTTTGTTTAAATGTCATATTCCCAGAGCTAATTCCTTGAGCATTTCTAAAATAGCCCTTCCCTCTCAGTCACTTACATCTTATACAGCTAATTGTCTTCAGACCTTTAAGATCATTGACAATGATTGATGCTATATGAGCTATCTTTTTCCTCCAATAGTGGAATACGGATTCTATGAGTAGAAACTTTGACATTTTCCCTGCTATATCCCTAACACTATGGAATATATATGGCACTTGATGGTTGCTCTATAAACACTTGTTAGATGACTCAATGAATGAACAAACTAGAAATATTTGTTATGGACTATAAGAGGTTGCCAGTGAACTTCACCTTGCAAACCTCATAGTCGTTAGTATTGGCCCTAGAAGTCTCATCAAGATCCCATGCCCAACCGTAGAAGGCCATAGTGTTGGGTCTGGGCTGGGTTGCAGTGTCCCAGTCACCTAGGCTTTGTGGTGCTTAGCTGTGGCTAGTAGAACAAGGTACCAAGGGTGAGCCAAGAAGCAACCTCCAAAACTTATCAGAAAGTCCAACCTGGCCGCTGCTTCTTGTAGGATAGGCAAAGTGTGAAGATCTTGATATGAAGCATAGGATATAAACTGGGGAAACCAAACCAGAGTTCCAGCCTGGAGGAATTCCCAGAGCCATGGGAACATGGTTGTAGAAAGCCCCTATAGTTTTGGGTGAGCTGGTGAAGGAGCAGTTAGACTTACTTGGTTCAGGCACACATGATCTTCAGTCCTTCTCTTGAAGGCATGAGCTGGCTGCAGTTGCACTTTGCTCTGCTGGAGAGGAGCTGATGTCAGAGACTGACAATGGGTCAAGGGCTGGGTGGAGAGTATTCATTGCTGATTAAGTATTTCTTGATACTGAATGAGAGTAGATTTAGTGGAGGGGAAGGGAAGACCACAGAAAGACCACCAAAGAGATTATTCTACAGTCCAGAAAAGAGAGGACAAGAGCTAGTGATGGCAGAAGGGAGGAAGAGAAAGAGATTCATGCAAGAGAATTACTAATGCAAAATGTGCAAAACGTAAATTCAATCAGATTAGGCCAATGGAATAAGGAAAAAGAAAGACTCCATGAAGCCCAGGAGGACCTGAGCATGCTCAGCATTGTAGAGGGTGTTGTGTGCCTTGATTAAGTGAAAGACAGCAAGGGAGAGGCACGCGAGGGCAGGGAAATGTGCTTTACCTCTGGACAGGCTGATGTGACCAGCTCACTGGGACTCCAGAGAGATTTTTTCCAAAAGTAGCTGGAAATACAGGCCTACAGCACAAAAGCCCTAGGAGCCAGGTGAATGCCTGGAAGAATAGAAGGAATTACATTATTTAAAGTAAAATGGGCCAGGCATGGTGGCTCATGCTTATAATCCCAGCACTTTGGGAGGCCAAGGTGGGCGGATCACTTGAGGTCAGGAGTTCAAGACCAGCCTGGCCAACACGGGGAGACCCCATCTCTACTAAAAATACAAAAATTAGCCGGGTGTGGCGTGCCTGTAATCCCACCTACTCCAGAGGCTGAGGCAGGAGAATCACTTGAACTGGGGAGACGGAGGTTGCAGTGAGTTGAGATGGCTCCACTGCACTCCAGCCTGAGTGACAGAGCAAGACTCCGTCTCTAAACAAAACAAAATAAAACAAGCAAACAAACAAAAAGTAAAATGGGGCTTTTGAAAGTAACCAAGAATTCTAGTGGAGGGAGGGGAAGCCAGGAGGACATTTTTAACTTGAATACAAACTAATGCTAATGAAGGGAAAGCTTGAAGCTGGAGGATGGTTTCTTATTCAAATGCAGTTTCGGATTGAATGATTTAAACTGTAGCATGTGATTTCAGAAAGCAGCTCTTTTTGCTTTACAAAGAGAACTCAGGAGTGTCGTGAGAGTCAGAAGCCTAGGAACCAAACCCCCAAAGGGGCCAGACCAGGAAAACCTAGCTCTCTCCAGTGCAAAGGGGAAAGCGCTCCTGTTCACTGCTGCCTTCTGCACCACGACTACCTGTGAGGAGCACTCCGTGCAGGTAATTCTGAAAGCGCCATACGAAAGAGAGGATCACATGTTATTAATCATAAATGCGAAAGCAAAAACAAATGACGGTTTCTCCTTGCCTTCAAATGAAGACAACCAAAAGCATCAGAGGTGAAAACAAGACAGACACGCCATGCAGATTGAAAACCAGATTATATCCTAGGGAGCACGCATAAAATTAAGAAAATAATTACTGACTATGAGACGCAGATCATAGAATAAAAGGAGTCCCAAAAGAACCTTCCTTCCACAATAGAAACAAACAACAACTTAAAAATGTGAAGAAAGTGGGGCGGACACAGTGGCTCATGCCTATAATCCTAGCACTTTGGGAGGCTGAGGCGGGCAGATCACTTGAACTTAGGAGTTTGAGACCAGCCTGGGAAACATCTCTATTAAAAATACAAAGTTAGCCTGGTGTGGTGGTGGGTGCCTGTAATCCCAGCTACTCGGGAGGCTGAGGCAGGAGAATTGCTTGAACCCAGGAGATGGAGGTTGCAGTGAGCCGAGATCACACCACTGCACTTCCAGCCTAGGCAACAGAGTGAGACTCCGTCTCAAAAATAAAATGAATAGAATAGAATAGAATAGAATAGAATAGAATAGAATAGAATAGTGATATTTCATAAGCTGGTGTTACATCAATGAGAGAATATTATCAAGGTAGCCTTGGGTCCTTCTCCCTGAGTTCTTACAAGAAGCCCCAGGTCAGGGTTACAAATATCAAGCAAAGGGAATACTAGGGAGGTAGGGTAAGGCTACGAGTCAGGGCTGATGGTAAAAAGATGGTCATGTAGAGCGAGGCAGGTGGGAAGTAGGGCAGGTCTTAGCTAAGAACTTCAGAGGAAGCCTCTCAGATCAGACCCAAGGCTACAGGGTAAGAATCGACTGCAGAGACGGGAGCTGCTGGCTTTCCGAGACTGCAGCTTCTGGTGCTGCCTCTTGGACTAGTTCCCACATTACAGGTTACCTACAGCTTCCCCCAGAAAAGAACATTTTCCTTTTGAAATATAGGACAAAGACTATTTCTTGGAGGGCCTCCAGGCAATGTGGACCAGGAAATAGGAGATTTGCTGGTCAAATCAACCTTGAGAAAGGCTGGATTCAAATAACCTTCTTTGATTTCTCGGTGACCATTGAATTCTCAGTATATGAAAGGCCCTCCAAAGTCCTGCTTTTATTTATTTATTTATTTAGAGACAGAATCTTGCTCTGTCACCCAGGTTGGAGTGCAGTGGCGTGATCTCGGCTCACCGCAACTTCCACTTCTTGGGTTCAAGTGAGTCTTCTGCCTCAGCCTCCCATGTAGCTGGGATTACTGGCACTCACCACCACATCAGGCTAATTTTTGTATTTTTAGTAGAGATGGGGTTTCACCATGTTGGCCAGTCTGGTCTTGAACTCCTGACCTTGTCAAGTAATCCCCCCGCATTGGCCTCCCAAAATGCTAGGATTACAGGTGTGAGCTACCACCCCCAGGCAAAAGTCCTGCTTCCACAAAACACACTTTATCTTCACTGCCTTGGGGTTATAATTTGTAACAATCACAATATTGGTCACGAAATTGGAGTTGGCTGATGTGATTGGCTATGCCCATCTCTTCTTACTTCCATATTTCTGCTTTAGAGTGAAGTTGAAGAGAGCAACTTTCTCAGAGGAGGGTATCTGAGCAATATGTATTCTGGCTAGAGCCTCTCAGCACACCCATGGAAAGCTACAATACAAATTATCAATCTGTTTGTAGAGCACTCTGTGTTTTACAAAGCACTTTACTACTATTTATCATATAATAAATATGTAAATATGGTGAATATGTAAATATATGTGCATAAAGTAAATGTGGAATATGACAGGAGTTGGAGGGAGTCAATCGTATTCTAGAAGTGCAATAAAACAAGCTTGGTTCCTGCAAGGTGTCTGTCAGTTGGTTCCAGAAAGGTGAAGATTTGGGATAACTGGATCCCACTTTCTACAACAGTTTCCACCGGTTGAAAGCACACCTACGGCTTGCCCTGGGGGTGTTTTCCCCACCATCCCTTCTCAAGGTTCATTTCTAATTACTTCAGTACCCCTAGAGTGCTGAGTGAACAGGTTCATTTAAATGGGAAGACCTAAAACTCTTGTTTTTCAGCTCCTTGCTAAGGTACCTGATGATTATCCCATCGCCAACAGGGGCAAGTCCAAATGCCTTTACATCCCTTCACAACGTCATCCCCCATCACTTTCCCTGCACGCTGTGTTCCAGCTCCTTGGAACGGCCTCCCATTTCCTGAACAGGTTGCGCTTCCTCCGCTTCTCAACCCTCAACATACACACCCTGCATTCTGTTCCTGGTTGCCCTTCTTTCCTTTCTCTACCTGCAAAACCCTCCCCAGCTCCCCAGGGCAGAGCTAGTTGCTTCTTCCCCTGGATCCCAGGGCCCTTTCTTCCTAGGGGCCTCCAGTAGTGCCTAATGGCTTATAGATGATGCCCAGGAAACATTCATTGAGGGGAGGTCTCATGGAGCAGGAGACACATCTGCTCCCTCTTCACTTTCTGCCATTAGGAAAAGCTTCCGGAGGCCTCCTCCAAAACCCATGCAGGCACCGTGCTTCTTGCACAGTCTGAAGAACCATGAGCCATAATAAGCCTCTTTTCTATATGAATTACCCAGTCCTGGGTATTTCTTTATAGCAATGCAAAATAGACTAATACAAGGCATATGTAAATTTTTTTAAAATGCTTTTCTAAAGGAGCGTAGATTAAATGAAGATGAGGCCTGACAGGAAGAATGGTTCATTTAGGGACTGTCTTTTACTGTAGTGTCTCCAAATTTGACATTAAGACACAGGAAAGCATGCCACCAATTGCCAGCAGTCAATCAAGAGTGGTGGGAAGAGGTAGGAGCCAGAGCTGGCACTGGCTGGCTGGGGATGGTGGGACAGGCCTAGGCAAGTGGCTGCCAAGTATAATCTCTTTGGGGGAAGAGATATGATATGGTTTGGAGGTTTGTCCCCTTCAAATCTTATGGTGACATGTGACCCCCCCATATTGGAGGTGGGGCCTAGCAGGAGGTGTTTGGATTATGGGGGTGGACCCCTCATGAATGGCTTGGTTCCCTTGGTGATGAGTGAGTTCTCACTCTATTAGTTATTGATATTTGATTGTTAACAAGAACCTGGCACCTCCTCCCTCTCTCTCTTGCTCCCACTCTCACCATGTGACACGTCTGCTCCCTCTTCACTTTCTGCCATTAGGAAAAGCTTCCGGAGGCCTCCTCCAAAACCGATGCAGGCACCGTGCTTCTTGCACAGTCTGAAGAACCACGAGCACAAAAAGCCTCTTTTCTATATGAAGTACCCAGTCCTGGGTATTTCTTTATAGCAATGCAAAATAGACTAATCCAAGGCATATGTAATTTTTTAAAAAATGATTTTCTAAAGGAGCATAGATTTAATGAGGACGAGGCCTGACAGGAAGAATGGATTCAAAGTAAGCCACATTGAATAGTAGAGGGAGGAAGAGATGGGGCAAAGGACTGTGCCTGGGCCCCGCCTGCTGGCAGGGCAGAGATCCCACTGCGGTGCCAGGGGCGCTCCTTGTCTCAGGGACAGGGCAGGGCTGAGGAGCAGGCTGAAGTCCCCCCCCGCCCCCAACCTAACCTCCATGGTAAAGGCAGGGATTTGTAGCCAGGTCTCCTGGAAGGCAGTACATGATTTGCTACTGGTTTTTCACATATTTTCCCAATCATTTCCTCTTCATGTTTAACCTTCTATTATTTGACTAAAATCTCTAAGAAAAGCTTAGTTCTTTCTGAGCTCAGTCCGCCCTTGTTATCTTTTCTCAAAATTTCTGAACTCAAAGGGGCGGAAACCAGGTTTTCAGACATTCAGCTCAGCCAGGCAAACAGCCTCTAGTAATTCCAGGCAAGTGCAAAGACAAGCAGCAAATCGGGCAAACGGTAGAGGTTGCACCTGTTTTCTTTTTGAGAGTATCCTTATCAGAGAGCCAGAACTAGTCATTACATTGTGTTTGTTTGCTAATGTTGCTTTACCTTGCTGAGCTCAAAGTGCCCCCACGGACAAAAAAGATCACAGACCACTGCAATTATCAGGGACTGCGGAGTGTGTTTTGTTCCTCCCACCTCATTTCACAGGGTGGAAATTGATAGGGGGAAAGGGGAAATTCAGATTACAACAGACTTGATAGAATTCTTTTGCTGTTTTCCTCTAGACAACTCAGGCTCAGTTGAAGGTCCTTTTAAAAAGCCACCATTTTCTGATTTGCTCCTTCAGAAACAGGGCAGCAAATATAAGGATGGGAACCGAAGTGAGAAAGGCACTCTGAAACAGCGGACACAAAAGAAGAGCGATTGATGGACTGCCCAAGCTCGGGTAGATAATCCCACTCTGAACCAGTCCTCGCATAGAGGAAACACCATAAAATATTGATCTATGATCTATATTGAATTGCCCATTCCTTCTTAAAATATACTAATGGACAGATGCAGCGATACAGGTACATATCTTAATTGCTAATCCCATAAACATGATTGAGCATCCACTCTGTACTAAATCCACAGAGATTAAAGTAAGGATATAAATATGTATAATGAGAAGAACAAACATTTATTGAGAGCTACAATGTTTCAGGTGCTGGACCAAGTTATAACCTTAATAGTAACTACATTGAACCTTAATAGTAAGTACAATTGTTAGTCCATTTTATAGGTAAGGAAACGGAGACGAGGACGATGAAGTAGCTTGCCTGAGGTCACACAGCTGACAGGTGACAGTGCTGAGATTCTGAATTAGTTTAGCCTGAGTTCCTAATCATTCTGCCCCAGTGACCTCCATGAGACTAGATCCCTGGAACCTGTAGTAAAATGGGTGGCGCATAACCGAACCGAGTGCCAGTACCACGTGATAAAAACTTCAAATGGGAAAAGGGAAGATGGGATGAAGAACAGGGAGATTTGCTAAATGATACAAAATTACAGCTGGATAGGAGGCATAAGGGCTCTTGTTCTATGACACTGTAGGATGACTGCAGTTTATAGTAACATATACTTTCGAAGAGCTAGAAGGAGGATCTTGAAAGTTTCTAACACAAAGAAATGATAATGTTTGATGTGACAGATATGCCAATTACCCCGATCTTATCACCATACCTTCTATGTATCAAAAGTTCACTGTGCACCCCATACATCTGTGCAATTATTATTTGTCAATAAAATAAAATAAAATAAAAAGGATTCCAAATGGGAAAAAAGAAAGAAAGAATTCACAGGGAAGGTAATGCTAGAGCAGGCGCTTAAGGAATGAGGGAGGAGGCCGGGTGAGGTGGCTCATGCCCGTAATCCTAACGCTTAGGGAGGCTGAGGTGTGAGGATTACGTGAGCCAAGGGGATCGAGACCAGTCTGGATAACATAACAAGACTCCGTCTCTATTTTTAATATATATTTATATTATAAAATTTTTTTTTTAAAGAAAAAGAATAAGGGAGGAGATGTCCATTTGGAAACGAGCGGAGGAGAGGAAGCGCGCCTTAGGAATGCGGTTGAGATAACTAGGAACATCGTACCTGATGCTGTAGAAGAATCGAATGGTGCCAGGGTCAGACAAAACGTACCCCGGGGGCTCAGATGGTGGCCTCAATCCAGCTGAGGAGAGAGACCAATCTCCATGCAGTCAGGATGAAGAGCTGTAGACCACAGGGTGAAAATTGCTGTTGGCCATCCGAGCTCAACCTTCATGGAGACTGGCGCACCGCTGCCCTCTCAGGTCACCAGCTGGACGCTGCCCTGGAGTAGACTGCATGGGAGGGTTGTGCAGGGTAGGGACACAGCCAAATGGAGCTGCCAAGAACCAGAGAAATTACTGAAGACGGTGTCAAGTCCTCTGAAACAGTCTCCTTTCCATAGCCTCTGGCTTCATCCAGCCTCACCCTTGGCGATCAGCACGTGCTGCAGACACGGGATCTGCAAGAAACGCAAAAGGTATCAAAGAAAAGGCTGGTTCCACGTGATATTGATGCCCAAGCATCTACCAAAGTCAACTTTCTGTTTTTTGCTCTGTGCTTGCTTAGGCAGGTCCTCAAGTTTGAAAGACCAAAAATCATGGCTAACACATGGACGTCAGCCAGCCTGAGCGGCCCTAGCACCTCCGCTAATACTCGCTGGCCTTCTTAGAGAGGCATCCCTTTTCTCTTTTGCACACCTTAGATTTCCTCTTTTTCCATTTCCCACTCTAATCCTCTCTGAGGTTCCCTGTTCCTTTCCCTTTCTTCTTCCTCGTTCCTCCATCAGTCTCTGGTGGACCTGCCCCATGGCTGGCAGCTCTGGGGCCAGAAAGTTGCCAGTTCTGGTTTTCCAGGCCCGCTTTGGAAGAGTAGCATCCCCTTGTGATCACGGACTACCTGCACCTGGATCCCCCAGAGAGCTGGGAAAATGCAGAGCCCTGGGCCCACCTCCAATCTGCTGAAATAGGCTTGCTGAACTGGAAGCTACGCCTCCAACAAGTCTTCTGGATCAGTTTTTGCTCACTAAGGTTTGAGACCCTCTGCTCTGGAGACAAAGGCCCTGGAAAGTTTGATCTCTCATCTCTCTCTCTGCTTCCCCCATTAACCCTTCTCTAAAAAATGGAGAAGCTGAGCTGAAGGCACAGCATCGAGCTTTTCCTTCCCTTTTGTCTTCTGTCTAGACGTCTTTCTCCTCTACTGGATGGTGAATCCCTAAGGATGGGAGTCGTGTTCTACTCAACTCTGGTACCCCAAGGTTCCCATGATGTCTGGGTCACCATGGACACTTAGAAATATTTGTTGAATGAATAAATTGTTGATGCCCTCCCTCCCCCCTCCCTTCTCTCCTCCTCCTCCCCTTTTCTGTTCCTCTTTCTCTTGGGATCCCCTCGGCCTTGGGCACAAAACCCAAATGTTTTAACAGATTGTTAATGTTTAAAGGGAGACAGGTGGGCACAAGCAGGGCAATGGCAGGTTGCTCAATGGACAAACAAATCCACCTTCTTCTGTTGTCTCCTAAGCCAACAGGAAGCAGCCAGAAGACAGTCAGACGGTCACTCACCCAGCAAGGGCTCGGGACTGCTGTCCTGCCTGCCCCACGCAGCAGTTGCATAACCTTGCTGCAACAATCTGAGCTATAAATAGTCTTTACTGAGAAGCCCCAATCTGGGATTGGACAGGCCCGAGGAGTGGCCTTTATTTGTTGCCCCTTTAAACCAGTGGAGAAAACCATTTTTTGAAAGTCTCACTTATAGACTCTAAGCCTGGGGCAAAGTATTCCATGTTCTCCTTTGAGTTCAGCCTGGGGTCTCATTCTGTGACTGCATTTAGGGTGTCCATGTGGCTCTTTCTCCTTCTCCTTACTGTGACAATGTGTGACCCAGCTCCACTGATGGAACAATGCAAATAAAGATAATGATGATCATTCTTCACTAGATCTTCTTTTCCCCCCATTTCTGTCACTCCTATTCTTGTCTAGTCTTTTATCTCTTGTGTATGGGCCTGTCAGAGCCTTGCCCGTTGATTGGTGACTCTTATCTCCATCTTGTCTATAAGACCGATTCTCCTGAACACTCGGGTTTTTTTCATGTTTTTCCCCTGTTCAGAGTCTTTCAGTGGCTTCCCCTTACTTATAACAGCAGTCTACAATTCTCAAAGGGGCTCCTGTTCTTAATGTCATGTGTTTTGTTTGTTTGTGTGTCTGAGACAGAGGCTTGCTCTGTTGCTCAGGCTGGAGTGCAGTGGAGCGATCTCGGCTCACTGCAACCTCCGCCTCCTGGGTTCCAGCGATTCTCCTGCCCCAGCCTCTCAAGTAGCTGGGACTACAGGTGCCCACCACCATGCCCGGCTAATTTTTGTATTTTTTAGTAAAGACGGGGTTTCACTATATTGGCCAGGCTGGTCTTGAACTCCTGACCTGGTGATCCACCTGCTTTGGCCTCCCAAAGTGCTGTGATTACAGTCGTGAGCCACTGCACCCGGCCAATGTATGTATTTATTTATAAATTAAATATGTGTGCTACTGTCAGTTTATAGAAAATATTAGAAAAGCTTACTTTCATTGTTAATTTTTGACAAACCATAAATAGTAGTTCTAATACTTTCTCCCTGACGGCCAGTGGATCATTATGAATACCCCATAATGGATATCACTGAAGATAGCATTGAATCATTTCGCTGGGATATCAAAGGCTTCCAATATCTAGTTTCAGGCCATTTCTCCATTGTCTCAACATTTCTTAGAGATGACTATGGCCAGGCACAAGGCTAGGCTCAGGAGGTAACAATGAGTACTTACCCCCCCCTGCATATCAGGAGCTCACAGACTGGTAGAGGAGATAAACTCATAAACAGGTAACTTTTGGAGAGTCCTACGTATCATTAGAAAAGTTTGCATAAGGCATGAAGAAAGAACAGTGGAAAGAAATGGCAGCCTGTGTGAATCCAGAAAGGCTTCACGGACAACTATTTGAGCGGGGTCTTGAAGCATGAGTATTTCACCAAGTCACAAAAAGGACAAAGGGCCTTCTGGGCACAGGCAAAGGCACAAAGGTAAAAGAAGAGCTTGGTACACCAGGGAAGGGAGAAGCTGTTCACAGAGGCTGATGGGGCCTGGAGGAGAGGGATGGAAGATCAGGACTATAAAGGGAGGTTGAGACCAAATCATGGAGAACCGTATCTGCCATACCAATAAGACTGGCTTGTATCCTGAAGTTAGTGGGAGTCATGGATGTTGTGACAAGCTACATTCTTTCCTAAATCTGACTTTTCCTGACCTCCCTGCAGGAGTAACAGACTTTATATAAAGTAGGAAGAAGAAAATCAGCATTTTCCCCAGGGCTCCCATGAAGCTGATAGTCTGGGCTGCTCAGGAGGCCCCACACCAAGGGCCACAGCCTCAAGACAGTAGGACATGCCCTTCCCCAAAGTCTAAGGGCAAGGTCAAGAGCATCCAGTGTTCGAACTAAAACTAAGAAAAACCCGCACCCTACGACTGGGACTAGTGGTCATTGGAAAAGCTTTTCAGGGGTCCCTAGAAGTTGACTTTGTGATGAGATGAAGACATATCTCTTGTACATTGTCAGGCATAAATCAACCCAAACTCTAGTAAAAGAACAAAGTTGCAAAATATAACACAATGACAGATGCCTGTAGTTTAATGAAACCAAGATTGGAGGTAAGAATTTTTCATCTCTGGCTCGCCATAGTTTCAGAGTGGGAGACACGGCTATCCATCTTCTCTCTTTATCACACTTTTACTAAGAAATTGATGTTTATACAGTGTTCCCAGAGAAGCCATTTATCTTTTAAGTTCATTAGCATGTCCAATTCCTCTTCTAAAAAGCTTCACCTCAAAAATCTTCGTAGAAGGGTTTTCATTCATTTAATCAACCTTTATTATGTGCCTAATGGTTGCCACGCACTGCTCCTGGCTAAGTTTTTGCTTCTAAAGTATTTCCCTTCATCTGTGAAGTAGTGCAGATGACCACTGTCTTCCTGATGGGGACTTGCAGTTTTGCCCAGAAGGGATGCTAGACAGACCCTGAGCTGTCTGCTCTGTCCCTCCTGTGAACAGGGCCAGGCATTTGTAAGCTCCTTGGGTCATGTTTGGAGGTGTGGTCTGTGTTGGAGGACTGGCGCCTTCCTCTGTGAGACAGAGTTGTCCTCTGTGCTGTGCTGAAACAGCAGCCTTGAGCTTTTAGCCTAATGTGCTAACAAAATGAAATAATCATCCAGAAAGAAAATGTTAGACTGAATTAGAAATGATAGAGATCCTCGTCTTGACAGGGACAAGACTGTTAGAGATTATAAGAATGAAATTACAGGCCTGACGTGCAGCTGTGTAGGGATGGGGCCAGCAAGGTACTGACAACCTGGGCAACAGCAGGGTGTCATAGAAGATGGACTGGACAGCCGGGCACCATGGCTCATTCCTGTAGTTCCAGCACTTTGGGAGGCTGAAGCAGGTGGATCACAAGGTCAGGAGTTCCAGACCATCCTGACCAACACGATGAAACCCTGTCTCTACTAAAACTACAAAAATCAGCTGGGCGTGGTGGTGAGCGCCTGTAATCCCAGTTACTCAGGACGCTGAGGCAGGAGAATCGCTGGAACCCAGGAGGCAGAGGTTGCAGTGAGCTGAGATCAAACCACTGCACTCCAGCCTGGGCAACAGAGCAAGACTCCGTTTCAAACAATAAATAAATAAGTAAGATGGACTGAACTTAAAGTCAGAGACTGGAGCGCCAGCCTCAGCTCTGAAAATCAGCCATCTCCTTGAAATGCTCACACCCTTTCTGTCTCTCCATATACCCTTCTGTCAAAGGAGGATACTAGGTGTTTCTAGCTAAGACCTTGATTCTAAAGTGTTGCATTTATTTCATCATATTTCCACACTCGTCAACAAAAGTAAGATAGATTAGGGCAGCACTTCCTCTTGTATGGGTATATCTGAAATCTAACTGCTTTCGTCACTGTAGATAAGTGTTACTGACCTGCCATTTTTCTTTGGAATTCCTTTGGAAGGGAAGAGAAATAAATAAACATTCTTTGTTATCAGCTGTTCTCATTAAGGGCTTCATTCTGTGGCTCCTCTGATATCTTAAATTGAAGAGTGAGGCTGGGAAAAGGAGCAAGAGACACGCAAAGGGGAAAAGGGATCTCACGGGAGAGACGAGAAACCAGAAACATTGGTCCACCTCATCAGGAAAGTTGACTTTAGTGTCTTGAGTACATTGTTTAAATATCTGTCACCACAATTCCCCTGTTTGCAAATGGCAGTGATAATGCCAACTTATCTCATTAGGGTGTTATGGGAGGAATAATAGTTTAAACACACAGTCAACAAAGTACTGTCGGAATGCTCATTGTCACCAGTAACATGAATTGGTTTTTACATGGGCAGTAGTGACCCCCAAATGAAGATCCTTGTCCCATTCTCCCTGAGAAGGAGGCCATGCAGGAGCTATGCCCAGGCAGCACTGCCCAGGTAGGCAAGATTGTCTGCCCATGGTTTCATTTCTATAAGGCCCCAATGAACCTCTTAGGAGTGACAACCAGCCAAGCTGAGGCTGAAGGCTGGCCTCTAGTTTTAAGACTACTAAGCAAGTCAGAGTAGATGCTGTTTTGCCCAGGAGGGATGCCAGGCAGACTCTGAGCCACCTCTGGATGATTGTTCATTTGGTTAGGCGAGGCAATGAAGAATTCAGTGAATGGCAAAATAGTCTAGGCGTACTCAAACAAGATGGCCCATGGGCTGGGGTTCAGATAATTACATGAGTGGGGACCACAAGTCTGAAAAAACATGTATATGTATATTCCTTTCTAGTTATGTATGATTCATATATTATGTATTTTAAAAGTTTATTTAGATTTAGACTTATCACAACTGCTGACCCTACCTCCAGTCCTCACCTCTGATTTGCTCTGAGCAGAGGTTGGCAAACTATAACCTGCGTGCCAAATCCAGCCTGTGGTCTGTTTTTGTGTGATCCAAGAGCTGAGAATTCGTTTTACATTTTTCAAGGGTTGTAAAACACACAGACAGGAATATGCAACAGAGGCCTGGCCTGATGCAGTGCAAAAAGCCTCAAATAATTTACTACCCGGACCTTTGCATAAAAGTTTGCCAACATCTAGCCTTGAGGACTTACTGGCCTCTTGTGTATGACATGATTTATGATTGCTTTCTCATTTCATCCTTACAGCCATCCTGGAAGGGGGGTAGGACAGCTGCTATTATGTCCATTTTTAAGGTGAGGAAACAGAAGGCCAGAACAGTTACATAACTGCTCGAGGTCACATTCACAGTGGCA